AAAAAAAAAAACTTACAACGCGAATACACAACAGGCGGCAAACTTAACAAAAAAATAATCTGCAAACATATCCTGAACTGTTCTCAGTCAAAAAAACGGCACCACTAACCTTCGTAAAAAGCCTCCACCACTGCCAGTTCCTTAGTTTCAGCCACGCTAAACCATTCCGTTGAAGTACCCGTATTGCGTTTGACTGCTGCATTCGTTTTTGGTAAAGTCGCCTAGCAAGGAATGCACGACACTGTGCTTGGAACGAAATTATGAGATCAGTTAACTTGAGGTCTCGTTCTTCTTCCAGCCGAGCCAAAACTCCAGCGCGGAAAAAAATTTTTGACTGGCCTAGCCGATATAAAGTAGCTTCCATTTCAAGCGCTTCAATCATCTTCCTGAACCACCAGTTTTAAGTTGAGATAATAATGATAAGGTTTTCAATTTTAATAAAGTCCTATACGTCACTCCCCTCCCATAGAAACAAAACCAAATGAATTCAAATATTAAAAATTACTTCTGAAAAACCCAAAAGAGAAAAAATTTGAACTAGAATTAAAGTCTGGCTGCTAACCTCACTGCTTCCTTTCCATCCATAAATCCTTTAGGAATCACATTGGGAGTAAGAAGTTCATAACGATGACGAAATTCTTGGAATGGAACTCTATTAGGAAAACCTTGACGGCAAATTCTAATGCCTTCCAATACTCCATTGCATTTCAACTGTTCTAGTACGAGCAATGATGCAATTTTTCCCGCCTAAAGATGGTTTAATCTACTTCTAAGTACAGTAAAAAAATACATTACTAAATCCTTAAACTTGATTCCCTAATAGCCTCGAATAATTACTAAAAAGAAAAGTAATGATCGAAAAAGCTCACTTTCTTTTCATGGTTTGGAATGATACATCTGACAAAATGAGGGTTGGTGTTCCTCAGTGTCATCATAAGCCGTGTTAACTGCTCTTTGTGCATTTGACTTACAGTGCGGAACATACCCTTCTTTGTCCGTACAC